GCACCACTTGAGCCAAAAGCCGCCACGACCGACGCGCCGCCGTCGCTTGTGGGGAGCGTCACGGACTTTGTCGAGAGCAAACTCTTGAAGCTCGCGGCCGAGCGCGCGAAGCAGAGCCTGACGCTCTTTAAGCGCCAACTGGGCGCCTCGGACGTGCAAGCTGTCGTGCGCGCCGCCGACAAGAAGCTCAAAAAGGTGTTTGCGTTCTACGCTGTCGAGCACCGGGCCAAGAGCATGAACCTCGCGGAATTCAGCAATTGGTTGAAAGACCGGCATTTGATTGACGCGATCTTTCCGGTCGCGCGCGCCAAGCTCGTCTTTCTGAGTGCGATGCACCACACGGAGGCGACCGTCGCGTCCAACGACCTCGAGCTCGACTTGACGTTTGGCGAATTCATTGAAGCCGTCGTCGCCGTGGCCGTGTACCGCAACCCGAACCCATACCTGCCGCTGGCCGACCGTCTTCACCTCTTCTTCAACGACCACTTGTCGTCCTGAGACAACTGAAGGTGGTGGAAACGCCTACATCGTAGGGTTAAGTGTACTAGTACTGTTAACCCTTCAACGCCTTCAACGCCTGAACGATGCGTTCGCTCGATAGAAGCGTGGGCGTTGGAAGCCACTGACACTCATTTTCCCAGCACGCGATGCCGTTTCGCCGTGTTGGACTCGAAAATGGCGGGTGCGAAATCGCGTTCAACGCCTGTGGGAATGCGAGTTATTTGTGCCATTCATAAAAATGCAACTTTTCACCCTTGCGCTTCTTGTCGCGGGCGTCGCCGCGCGCTCGTCGTACGTTGCACGTCTCCCAAACGGCGCCAACGTCCCCGACGTGAGTGCTCTGGGGCACACCAGCGCGGACGGCGGCGGTAGCCGCAACAAATTTGGAAGCGACTTCAGCGCCAACGGTGGGGGCTGGACCAAGACGCTTTGCCAACTCGACTCGGACGGCGACGGCGCGACAAACGGCGAAGAGCTCCTGGATCCGTGCTGCACGTGGACCCAAGGTGGTAGCCTCACATCGACCTACACCCCGACGCACCCAGGGGAGAAAAACTCCTTTTCAAGCGAAGAGCTGGCGGCGCTCAAGTGCGGCAGCAACACAACCAAGCCGCCGTCGTCCGCGACGCCCAAACCCAGCTCGGCGTCGACAATGATGCCATGCATCGGCCTCGTCTTGAGCTCAGTCGCAGCGTTGTCGTTGGGATAGATAGTATACTATCAAGTCGATACATCCATAGATTTATTCGGACTTTGCACTTGCCATTAGACCTGAGATGCATGCAGGTGCTTGCCAGATCCGTGGCTCATTTGCACGCCTCTACGGGTACTGCAACGACACGCTGCCTAATGAGTTTTGGTTAATACCACCAACGCATACCTTGAAGGCATCGAAGGACACGGAATGTGTGGTTGGCAGTCCAATCCAGCAGGACAGAAGGGCCTGTCTGGTCGCCTATTTGGTCGAAACGCGATGTTTTCGAGTCCCTAGCACTTGGAGAACGTTGACGTGATCCCTCGGCAAGGGGCAATGGTATCGAATGGCTCGTTGGCTAGATGGCACAAGACTCGGTCAAGACGAACCGATTGACGGTCCACTCCGTTGGCGCTAGGTTTTATAGCCTGTCTATTTTATAGCGGTCGAATCACTGTCGTTGGTGGCCGTGAAGTTTAATGCACTTTGCATTTTGCACTCGTTTCCACATCTCCACCATGCACTTGATTGCTCTTCTCTTTGCTGCGCTCGCTGCGACTGTCGCTGGGCAAGCCGCCACCAATGCTCCGATGGCCGCCACCTTGGTCAGCGCGATGCCGAGCCAAGAAGCGTCGGGCACTGGCAGCCTCGATGCGTCAACGCCTCTGACAACTGGATCCAACGGTCATGACGGTGACCACGGCACGGACGAAACTCGTCTGGGCGGCAACTTCGGGAACCAAGCTGGCACTTACGGCAACCAGGGAGTCGGTTATGGCAACCAGGGTGTTGGCTACGGCTACAAGGCCGATGGGTATGGCGACCAAGCTGGCACTTACGGCAACCAGGGGGTTGGATACGGCGAGCGTGGTGTCATCAACCAAGGTGCTGGCCACGGCAACCAAGGCATCGGCTACGGCGACCATGGGATCAACTACGGCAATCACGGCACCGGGTATGGGAACCAGGGTGCTGGCTACGGCAACCAAGGCACGGGATATGGCAACGGCGGCACCGAGTATGGCAACAACTATCGTGGGTATGGTCGCTCGAACGTCCGGGGCGCCATTAGCACAGGGTACCCATCTCTCTCGGGGCGCCCGACGTACGGTGGGCCGAGCTACGGCGCTGGCCAGGACTACGGGAAGCAAGCGTATGGCCGCGCTGACAACAAGGGGTATGGTGGGTATCTTCGCCGCTAGTCGGTCGGCGCAATGCGAGGCATCGTCGCTCGGGTGTACACTATTGTCAATATAAACCGCCATTTTTCTAAAACGAGCCACTTTCGTCCTTGCTCTACCTACGATCTACGTACTACAGCAAGTGTTCAACGCGTGTGATGGCCGTCAATGGGGATGATCCATCCATTCTCCACATCGCAACATCGAAAGCCTCGCAAAGGTTGGACCGTCGCCCCAGCGTCAACAGTTGCTACACTGCAGCGCAGTATGTGTGCAAACAACGCGTAGGTTCTCAAAGTGATTGTGGTTGTTGTTAGTAGAATAGTAGATGGTTGGATGGCCGATTCTCCTTACGCCAAGACCTTGGCGATCTGGTACGCGCGCTTCAGTTTCCGGCGCAGTAGCTTTTGCTCGAGCGTCTGCTCGGCCTCGGGCACCTTCTCGCCGTCGTCCTTGGTCGCGTCGACGACATCTTGGGCTTCGCGGAGCACGCGGTCGCGCGCCGTGCCCTGCATGCCACCGAGGTACTCGAGCACGATCGTAAACAGCGCCTTGTTGACGACGTCGGCGCGGTACATCCAGCGTAGGATCCACACCTGCTTGGCCTTCTTGAAGCGCCAAATCGGCTCGCCCGTCTCGGTCTTGGCGCTGGGGTCGGCCGTAAACTTTTGCCACTGCTCGAGGTAGTACTTGGCCTCCTGGATGAGCTCGGGCGTCGGCTTGTTCTCCGTGTCGTTGCTGTTGCCCGTCGCAGGCACCGGCGCTTCGCCCTCGGCGACCGACTCGGCCTTCTTGTCGGCCTTCTTGTCGGCCTTGAAGCGCTTCTTGGCGCCGTCGCCCGTGTTGCGGCGTCGCTTGACCATATTAATTCAATTGGGCTCTGCGCGATTGGTTCCAAGGATACGCGAGGCCATTGGCTGAAAGCTCGTGGGGGTTTAGCCAATCCGATTGCGCCATTCGCATCCATGTGCAATTTCGCCGGACATGCAGCATCGCCTCCGAGACGGCAGCGCTATAAGATCTTGTTGCAGCAGCATCGTTCCATGACGCAGGCTGCATCGACAACCGATATCTCTTGCGCGCCGTGGCCAGCGAATAGCGCCAACTACGCTCTCTGTTGCCAGCACGTACCAAGTCGTCGCACCAATCAATTGAAGTAACAATCCATGGGCTCTAACGTTAGAGACAATGCGCGCAAGTCCAATTATGACACAAGCGTCCATCTTGCGATCTCTTGTTGTCCAGCTCAATAGGACTTTAAGAGTCCGAATAAGGCAGACACGCCTTTCTATCTATGCATAGCTTCCAGGACGGTACACTGATGGTCTCGGCGTCGACGCCGCCTTCCTCGTCCGGCGTCAGCACCTCTGGGCCTTCTCGCTCTCAATTGCTCTAAGTGGCCAGTACTTGGCTCGCTGGGATGCTTCCGATGCGACGCTGTCCAGCGTCGCATACCTGCTTCTCGCATCGGCGTTCTACAGCATGAGCGTCTGCACGAGCGATTTGCTCGCTGCAATACCCTTCTCTGGCGGCGCGTTTGGCCTCGCGCGTGTTGCCGTCAGCTTTTACGGCGGCTTCCTCGTGGCGGTCGCCGAGTGTTTCGAGTACGTTCTCTGCACGGCCGACGCGGTGCAGTCTCTCGGTGCGACACTCGCGCTAATGTGGCTCGCTCCGTTTCGACCGATCACCTACCTTGCGCTCTATGTGCTTCTTACGCACGTGCACTTGGCGGGGGGACCGAGCGTCTGGAAAAGCTACATCGTGCTCGCAGCAACCACGATCCTCGGACTCGTCGTCTACCTTGGCAGCAGTGTGCCACAGCTCGAATTGCGGCCGCTGCGCACCAAAAGCATGTGGAGCTCGGGGCTTGAGCTCGCGGCGCTTCTGCCGTCGCAAATGCGTCTCTTTATGGGGCTCGAGTGCCTCAACCTCTGCGGCCAGGACGTTGACGACCCGCAGATTGCACTCCCGCTCGTCCAGCGCCAAGCCATGCGCATCGTGATAGCATCGTCCTTCATTTTAGGAGTGATCATGGTCGGATTTGCCCCACTGCGCTGGACCGCCCCGTCCGCGTACCCGCCGCTCACCGCTGGGTTTGCCGACAGCTGGAGCGTCTCACTACAGGTGGCATCGCTTCTCTCCTTGCCAAGCTCTGTTTTATGCACGGCTACAGCCGCGTGCTTTCGTACATGGCGTCGTCCCGCTTGGTGCACCGGTCGCTTCGGCGGCGCGTCGGTCGGCACCGGACGCCGCGCCGAGCCCTGTACGTC